ATATGTGATGTGTTGTGTCTATATGGGATGTGTTGTGTCTATATGGGATGTGTCTATATGTGATGTGTTGTGTCTATATGGGATGTGTTGTGTCTATATGGGATGTGTTGTGTCTATATGTGTTGTGTCTATATGAGGTGTGTTGTGTCTATGTGTCTATATGGGATGTGTTGTGTCTATATGGGATGTGTTGTGTCTATATGTGTTGTGTCTATATGAGATGTGTTGTGTCTATGTGTCTATATGGGATGTGTTGTGTCTATATGGGATGTGTTGTGTCTATATGGGATGTGTTGTGTCTATATGGGATGTGTTGTGTCTATATGGGATGTGTTGTGTCTATATGGGATGTGTTATGTCTATATGGGATGTGTCTATATGTGATGTGTTGTGTCTATATGGGATGTGTTGTGTCTATATGGGATGTGTTGTGTCTATATGGGATGTATTGTGTCTATATAGGATGTGTTGTGTCTATATGTGATGTGTTGTGTCTATATGGGATGTGTTGTGTCTATATGGGATGTGTTGTGTCTATATGTGATGTGTTGTGTCTATATGTGATGTGTTGTGTCTATATGGGATGTGTTATGTCTATATGGGATGTGTTGTGTCTATATGGGATATGGTGATGTGTTGTGTCTATATGTGATGTGTTGTGTCTATATGGGATGTGGTGATGTGTTGTGTCTATATGGGATGTGTTGTGTCTATATGGGATGTGTTGTGTCTATATGGGATATGGTGATGTGTTGTGTCTATATGGGATGTGTTGTGTCTATATGGGATGTGTCTATATGTGATGTGTTGTGTCTATATGGGATGTGTTGTGTCTATATGGGATGTGTCTATATGTGATGTGTTGTGTCTATATGGGATGTGTTGTGTCTATATGTGTTGTGTCTATATGAGGTGTGTTGTGTCTATGTGTCTATATGGGATGTGTTGTGTCTATATGGGATGTGTTGTGTCTATATGTGTTGTGTCTATATGAGATGTGTTGTGTCTATGTGTCTATATGGGATGTGTTGTGTCTATATGGGATGTGTTGTGTCTATATGGGATGTGTTGTGTCTATATGGGATGTGTTGTGTCTATATGGGATGTGTTATGTCTATATGGGATGTGTCTATATGTGATGTGTTGTGTCTATATGGGATGTGTTGTGTCTATATGGGATGTGTTGTGTCTATATGGGATGTATTGTGTCTATATAGGATGTGTTGTGTCTATATGTGATGTGTTGTGTCTATATGGGATGTGTTGTGTCTATATGGGATGTGTTGTGTCTATATGTGATGTGTTGTGTCTATATGTGATGTGTTGTGTCTATATGGGATGTGTTGTGTCTATATGTGTTGTGTCTATATGAGATGTGTTGTGTCTATATGAGATGTGTTGTGTCTATATGGGATGTGTTGTGTCTATATGGGATGTGTTGTGTCTATATGGGATGTGTTGTGTCTATATGGGATGTGTTGTGTGTATATGGGATGTGTTGTGTCTATATGGGATGTATTGTGTCTATATGGGATGTGTCTATATGGGATGTGTTGTGTCTATATGTGATGTGTTGTGTCTATATGGGATGTGTTGTGTCTATATGGGATGTGTTGTGTCTATATGTGTTGTGTCTATATGGGATGTGTTGTGTCTATATGTGTTGTGTCTATATGGTGATGTGTTGTGTCTATATGTGTTGTGTCTATATGGTGATGTGTTGTGTCTATATGGTGATGTGTTGTGTCTATATGGGATGTGTTGTGTCTATATGTGATGTGTTGTGTCTATATGAGATGTGTTGTGTCTATGTGTCTATATGGGATGTGTTGTGTCAATATGTGATGTGGTGATGTGTTGTGTCTATATGGGATGTATTGTGTCTATATGGGATGTGTTGTGTCTATATGGGATGTGTTGTGTCTATATGGGATGTGTTGTGTCTATATGGGATGTGTTGTGTCTATATGGGATGTGTTGTGTCTATATGTGATGTGTTGTGTCTATATGGGATGTGTTGTGTCTATATGTGATGTGGTGATGTGTTGTGTCTATGTGTCTATATGGGATGTGTTGTGTCAATATGTGATGTGGTGATGTGTTGTGTCTATATGGGATGTGTTGTGTCTATATGGGATGTGTTGTGTCTATATGGGATGTGTTGTGTCTATATGTGATGTGTTGTGTCTATATGGGATGTGTTGTGTCTATATGGGATGTGTTGTGTCTATATGGGATGTGTCTATATGGGATGTGTTGTGTCTATATGTGTTGTGTCTATATGGTGATGTGTTGTGTCTATATGTGTTGTGTCTATATGGGTGATGTGTTGTGTCTATATGGTGATGTGTTGTGTCTATATGGGATGTGTTGTGTCTATATGTGATGTGTTGTGTCTATATGAGATGTGTTGTGTCTATGGGTGATGTGTTGTGTCTAATATCGGATGTGTTGTGTCTATATTGTGATGTGTTGTGTCTATATGAGATGTGTTGTGTCTATGTGTCTATATGGGATGTGTTGTGTCTATATGGGATGTGTTGTGTCTATATGGGATGTATTGTGTCTATATGTGATAGACACAATACATCCCATATAGACACAACACATCCCATATAGACACAACACATCCCATATACGACACATAGACACAAACACATCTCCTATACGACACACACAATCACATATAGACACAACACATCAGATATAGACACAACACATCACACATAGACACAACACATCTCATTATAAGACACAACACATCACATATAGACACAAACCATCCCATATAGGACACAACACCATCACCATATAGACACAAACCACAATCACCCATATAGACACAACACATATAGACACAACACCATCCCAACCCCCATATAGACACAAACACATCCCATATGGACACATCCCATATGGGATGTGTTGTGTCTATATGGGATGTGTTGTGTCTATATGGGATGTGTTGTGTCTATATGGGATGTGTTGTGTCTATATGGGATGTGTTGTGTCTATATGGAATGTATTGTGTCTATATGTGATGTGTTGTGTCTATATGAGATGTGTTGTGTCTATGTGTCTATATGGGATGTGTTGTGTCTATATGGGATGTGTTGTGTCTATATGTGTTGTGTCTATATGTGATGTGTTGTGTCTATGTGTCTATATGGGATGTGTTGTGTCTATATGGGATGTGTTGTGTCTCTATGGGATGTGTTATGTCTATATGGGATGTGTCTATATGGGATGTGTTGTGTCTATGTGTCTATATGGGATGTGTTGTGTCTATATGGGATGTGTTGTGTCTCTATGGGATGTGTTATGTCTATATGGGATGTGTCTATATGGGATGTGTTGTGTCTATGTGTCTATATGGGATGTGTTGTGTCTATATGGGATGTGTTGTGTCTCTATGGGATGTGTTATGTCTATATGGGATGTGTCTATATGGGATGTGTTGTGTCTATGTGTCTATATGGGATGTGTTGTGTCTATATGGGATGTGTTGTGTCTCTATGGGATGTGTTGTGTCTATATGGTGAGTCAACCTCTACCGGCATGGTTGTTAACTGTTGGCTGGTTGTCAGACGTTCACATGGTTGTCAACTGTTGGCTGGTTGTCCTCAACATTCTCTTCTATTTTCAACAATGTGTTCTCAGGGGTATAAACCAGGGGTCGGCAACCTGCGGCTCGCGAGCCGCATGCGGCTCTTTTGATATCAAGATGCGGCTCTCCAGCTCCTTGAACAAATACTAATAATCTTAATAAAAAAATAAAATATTTGAAATAAAAAAAATGTTAGTGGCTCTTTAAAGCCAGGGAAATTTTGAAAATTGTAACTTTTGGCTCTTCCGCTTCAAAAGGTTGCCGACCCCTGGTATAAACCAATTCAACGCACTGACTGCACATCTTTGCTCTAAACTTTAAGTACTGACCACCCATCTTAGCACCAGTGCTAACATCAAAGTACTGACCGCACATTTTAGCACAAGTGCTAAGATAAAGCACTGACCCCACATCTTAGCACCAGTGCTAACATAAAGCACTGCGGTCCTGCTGGTGAAAGAACACCACACATGAAGACGTGAAATGTTTAATTAAGTTGAGCCCCAAAAACTAGCAACAAATCGAATCATCGCTATTTCTTTTTATTTTCTTCGTCGACTCTCGGAGCATTACGGTTAAATAATAAATGTCCTCACTCGTTTCAAGGGTCTAGCGGGTCTGAGGGGACCTGACCCCTGGCCTGACCCGGAGTCTCTAGAATATTTAACCGTGGGATTTCCACACAAAAATTGCCGTATTTTTTTTCTCTGTTTTGTTTCTTGTCTGTGCTATAGCCATTTCAAATGGTAGAGATTATTTGATGATCCAAATGTCCTGTCCGAGATTTGTCGGAGATATTAAAATGTATTTTTCTCTGACTTTGGCAGAATGTTTGTGTGTCCTATACAATTAAACTGTTCAAGGCCATTCCGAGCTGATTTTGTTTTTTCCAACTGGTGTCAGGTACCCATTACAGCTGGGTGGACTCCAGCGCGGTACTAACCTCAATATTAACATGTTTCGCGAAAACCAAATAGATGGCTAAACCATCGTTTGGATCGTTAAAATATCGGATCGTTAGTTTCGTTAGACCATTAGATCAAAGGTTATTAAATAATCGATTCTTTGTATTGTGTATAGCTAGACTTTATATTAAGACAAAACAGACTGACAGACTTGCTTGTTTAGAACATGGCGACTGTTAGACCGTGGGCCTGTTAGACCGTGGGCCTGTTAGACCGTGGGCCTGTTAGTGCGTTTGATAATTGGACCCAACAGTGTAGGACCAAACCGTTAGACCAAACAGTTCGACCAAAAAGTTGGACCAAAAAGTTGGACCAAAAAGTTGGACCAAAAAGTTGGACCAAACAGTTCGACCGTTAGACCAAACAGTTCGACCGTTAGACCAAATAGTTGGACCGTTAGACCAGTAACTAAAAGACTTTGAACTGACCTGTTGTGCGGCGTAGATATCCCTGACAAAATACGTCTCCTTGGTCAGACTCCCCTCCCCGAGAATATCCTTGACCTTGACCGTGCCGATGGCGTCGTGTCGGGAGAAGCGATCGAAGTCGTAGATGTTGAACTGTAGGCACCGCTGGGACAGCTCGTCGTACGGCACCACGAAGGTGAAGGTCTCGTTAAACTCCGGGTTCAAGGTCTTCCGGTGCACCTTGGTCTGGAGCTTCGTCTTCCGGTCCGGCAGGAGGTAAACCTTGACGTACGGATCCGACGTGCCGGAAAAGTCTTTAGCCGGCAGACTCTCCGCGCGGTTGATGTTGACTACCAGTGTGAGCTCCTCCGGGTTGTAGCGGAGGCTGAAGAACAGCTTGCCGCACGGCACATGCTCGGACCGCAGGCTGTCCACGGAGGCCTGCTTGTAGAGTTCCGGCTTGATGGCGCCGAGGTCCGGCTGCTCCTTCTGCTTGACGCTCTGGACCGTGAACTCGATCTGCGACATGTTCAGCCGGTGAGAGATCAGGCGCTGGAAGTTCTGGTGCCGCTGTGGCACCGTGGGCAGCGTCCACTGGCGGTCAGCGATCAAAATATTCTTCTTGCTGACGTTACCAGAGCCTTTCCCCGGCTCTGATGACCGGCTGATGTCCGGGTAGCTCCGGCTGATGGGGATGGGGCCGGAGCTGGCGGCCCATTGGTGGGTGGGGAGGCCGGTGGAGGCGTCAGTGGTGGGCAGCAGGGTCAGACCTTTCTTCTTCCGGTAGATGTACCAGGCTATGACCATGACAAGGCCGACCAGCACCGCCACGCCCCCTGTCACACCCCCAACCAGGACAGCGTCAGGACCTGGGGAAGAAATTTAAATCAACCAATCAAAAACATTTTACGGCTACCATTTGCTGACTAGCACATTACTACAAAATACGGAAACAAATCAAATAGTTTAAAGTTGTTTTTTTAAAACTCTCCCTGCCTTGTGTCACAAGACTAAAATAAACCAAGTTAGACCAATCACAGCGACACAACCTAGACTAAATTACACCAAATAATTGGACTATAATCTATCCGTCTGTTTCTCAAACGTTTACTGATGTGAGTTTTAACAGTATGGCGTTCATTGTCTTGTTTTATTTTCTTTGCTTTTGTTTGTTTTTTGTCTGCTTTTTTTTTTCATTTGTCTTGCGTCTGTTTCTGTGTGATAAAGCTGAGTTTGAAAAACCAAGAAAACATCCGAGATTTATTTTTCACCTGATAGACTGTGCTTATTTTTATTTTCTTTGAGCGCAAGACAAATCTAATTTATTTCTTCTCTCGTCATGTCCAGATTCACAAACACACAAACACACAAACACACAAACAAAAAAATGCAAATGAAAAAATAAATATTTCTACAGCCACCAGAGGGATTATAGTCGCTGGCACAAAGAGGGAGAAAAAGTTGACAAAACGGTTGGGTTAGTCGCCATTGATTCAGCAGTTTTTCTTTCTTTTTTTCCCATTAAAACTTGGAATAAAAGGAAACACGGGGTGCTGGGTCTGCCGGGAATTCCCAAACAATCGAATTACAGTCGCGGTGACGTTTCAAAGCGACAAACAGGTCATTTACAAAGTACAAAGAGAATATTGCAGCTTCTGGTGTTGGCAAAAATCAAAGGTGTAGTGACACCTCGGTGTTTATCTAATTAAAGGTGTAGAGGCACATTGGTGTTTGCTTTTGTCTAATAAAAGGTATAGAGGCACATTGGTGTTTGTTTTTGTGTAATGAAAGGTGTAGAGGCACATTGGTGTTTGTTTTTGTGTAATGAAAGGTGTAGAGGCACATTGGTGTTTGTTTTTGTGTAATGAAAGGTGTAGAGGCACATTGGTGTTTGGTTTTGTCTAATAAAAGGTATAGAGGCACATTGGTGTTTGTTTTTGTGTAATGAAAGGTGTAGAGGCACATTGGTGTTTGTTTTTGTGTAATGAAAGGTGTAGAGGCACATTGGTGTTTGTTTTTGTGTAATGAAAGGTGTAGAGGCACATTGGTGTTTGGTTTTGTCTAATAAAAGGTATAGAGGCACATTGGTGTTTGTTTTTGTGTAATGAAAGGTGTAGAGGCACATTGGTGTTTGTTTTTGTGTAATGAAAGGTGTAGAGGCACATTGGTGTTTGTTTTTGTGTAATGAAAGGTGTAGAGGCACATTGGTGTTTGTTTTTGTGTAATGAAAGGTGTAGAGGCACATTGGTGTTTGTTTTTGTGTAATGAAAGGTGTAGAGGCACATTGGTGTTTGGTTTTGTCTAATAAAAGGTATAGAGGCACATTAGTGTTTGTTTTTGTGTAATGAAAGGTGTAGAGGCACATTGGTGTTTGTTTTTGTGTAATGAAAGGTGTAGAGGCACATTGGTGTTTGTTTTTGTGTAATTAAAGGTGTAGAGGCACATTGGTGTTTGTTTTTGTGTAATGAAAGGTGTAGAGGCACATTGGTGTTTGTTTTTGTGTAATGAAAGGTGTAGAGGCACATTGGTGTTTGGTTTTGTGTAATGAAAGGTGTAGAGGCACATTGGTGTTTGTCTAATGAAAGGTGTGGTGACCCCAGCGGCTTGTGACTCCCCCATCCCCACCCCTCCAATCAGAGTGACCGAGGGGTGTGCGAGAGATATATCTCCGTCAGAAATTTGGGGCCATCTAGTCACCCAGGTCTGGCATGGTCAGATAACAGACGACAATTTCAGACGACCTCATTCTTTGGTGAAATAGATAACAGACGACAATTTCAGACGACTTCATTCTTTGGTGATATGGTGAAATTGGTTTTCTGGTGGCTAGTGGTTCTGTCGGTGGTTCTGTTGGTGGTTCTGTTGGTGGTTCTGTTGGTGGTTCTGTTGGTGGTTCTGTTGGTGGTTCTGTTGGTGGTTCTATTGGTGGTTAGAGGTTATGTTGGTGGTTAGTGGTTCCGTTTGGTACCTAGTGGTTATGGCACAACTTGAAACCGGACAACCCACTTTTTCTTATTTTTTTTGTTTGTGTTTTCACGAAAATTTCTCATATGATCCAAAATATCTCCAAATGAATTTTTAAAGTTTAGATTACGCTGTTTGAATCTCTGATAGAATTTGGATTCCCAGATCAAAAAATTGAAAGACGTCCTGTAAGAAGAAACTCTATTGATGCATGGGATACCGCACAACAGATGCACATTTTTGTGCACTTTTTTTTTCTGTTGGAACTTTTATCTGACCAGGTCAAGGCAGCAGCTGATGAGGTGGGAACCTGCCTGACGTCATTAGATGTGTGACGTCAGTGGACAAGTGACGCATAGAGATGTGTCGCGTCAGTAACTTCACACATGACTCAACAGCTCAGAGACAGTTGATTATGTGCGGGTTGGTCTAATTATCTTACTCAATCATTAAAAAAAGTTATTGAAATGGTAGGTAAAGAATGTTCACATATGTGTATTTACTGGAGGGGGAGGGAGAGGGAGAGAACGACAGTCGCAGAAAGAGCATTTGTTTTTGCCAGCAGACGGCTCAGATTTCTGCAAGTCAGATATCTATTGTGTCCAGACGAACACGGAGGGGGGGGTCGGAAATTGACGGATCAGATACGGCTGGATGGACAGGCAGGGTGGGGTGGGGTGGGGGGGGGTGTCAGAGACAAACATTCAATGGACCTGCCAAATCCGTTACACACCGGCCCTTGAGTTAGCAAGACTACAAGTAATGGCAAAACGTCATTGGACATTGTCGCGGGTAAAATGTAACAATGGGGCTAGTAAATCTCGATCTCTTTCACGTACAATTTGAAACCTCGTTGGCCAGGGAGAAACTTTCAAACTAAATTAAATGTTATAATCATGGCGGTTATTTGTTTATTTGCATCGCTTCAAGATTTTAAAATACCAAGTTTCCCCAAATTGTAACAATTATAATTTTTATTTTACCTATAACAGAAGCAAGGTTATTAATAATTTTAATAATATTATACCACTGTAACAACTACGTGACCATAGAATTTAGTTGACCCCCCCTGAAATGACCATAGAATTTAGTTGACCCTCTGAAGTGACCATAGAATTTAGTTGACTTGACCCCCTGAAGTGACCATAGAATTTAGTTGACCCCCTGAAGTGACCATAGAATTTAGTTGACCCCCTGAAGTGACCATAGAATTTAGTTGACCCCCCCTGAAGTGACCATAGAATTTAGTTGACCCCCTGAAGTGACCATAGAATTTAGTTGACCCCCCTGAAATGACCATAGAATTTAGTTGACCCCCTGAAGTGACCATAGAATTTAGTTGACCCCCTGAAGTGACCATAGAATTTAGTTGACCCCCCCTGAAATGACCATAGAATTTAGTTGACCCCCTGAAATGACCATAGAATTTAGTTGACCCCCTGAAGTGACCATAGAATTTAGTTGACCCCCTGAAGTGACCATAGAATTTAGTTGACCCCCTGAAGTGACCATAGAATTTAGTTGACCCCCCCTGAAATGACCATAGAATTTAGTTGACCCCCTGAAGTGACCATAGAATTTACTTGACCCTCTGAAGTGACCATAGAATTTAGTTGACCCCCTGAAGTGACCATAGAAATTAGTTGACTTGACCCCTAAATTGACCATAGAATTTAGTTGACCCCCCTGAAGTGACCATAGAATTTAGTTGATCCCCTGAAGTGACCATAGAATTTAGTTGATCCCCTGTAGTGACCAGAGAATTGAGTTGACCCCCCCCCCGCCCCTGAAGTGACCACATCATTGAGTCGACATGTCCACCTTACAAAATGTTTGTTGAGAGTGTACTTTAGTCCCCCTACAAAATCTGGCATGTCTTCCTGATTAAAGCCTCTATTATCACGACGTCCGCCTGCGCTGGATTGGAATTATCATACAGCCCGGTTGGCCGGTGTATCACTAGTGAATAATTAATCTAAAGGGATTTTCCGTTGCTATAGTTACATATGGGCTTTAAATGAAGGAATAATGAACAGGATTTGTTAGTGGCTGCAAGATTCTTTCAGCCTGTGTGTTTGTGATTGTCGACATCAATGTCCTACTGGTTACTTTTAACATCAATGTCCTACTGATTCCTTTCTACATCAATGTCCTACTGGCTCATGTCGACTTTAATGTGCTACTGATCCTTGTCGACTTTAATGTCCTACTGAATCTTGTTGACATCAAAGTCCTATCGACCTCATGTTGACATCAATGTCCTACTGATTCCCGTGTAATCTAAAATTAAACCTCGTAAAGACATTAATCTGTCTCGTGAATCAGGGTTAAATTAAAAGAATCATCAACAAAATTGCAATCAATTTGCAGGGGTTAATTTGTGCCCCACTAAAGTGACGCACGTGAATGCACGTGCTATTGTCGTCTGCTACTGGAGTTTTAGCAGACCTAAAAAAAATTACATTTCATCAGACGTGAAAAAGATGGATGGACAATAAATGACTGGGTCGTTCTGCTCGTACGGTAGTTGGCAGTAAGTCGTCCGGTAGTTGGCAGTAAGTCGTGCGGTAGTTGGCAGTAAGTCGTGCGGTAGTTGGCAGTAAGTCGTGCGGTAGTTGGCAGTTAGTCAATAGAAATTTTAATGTAGCGTATCTTAGTGTGTATTCCTAGATTGCAGGGGAAATATTTACTGATGTACGTCAGGTTTTGAATGTGTCTGAATGTGTATGTTGCTCCATTCATCATTGACAACAGCCACCTCTCTCATAGAGAAACTACATCACCCACCTCTCTCATTGAGGATTTACACAACCCACACCTCTCATAGAGGAACTACAACACCCACCTCTCTCCGTGC